AGAAAAAATGTTAAAATAAATTAATATCATATGTTTAGTCTTTAAAATTACTTTAACAATAGTTAATTTATGTATTGGACTAACACGATAAAATATCGTTGCTTTTGAAATAGCACTATCAAGTTCCGATGCACTCATATGTTCAAGATCTTCTCCAGATATACTTAAATCAGCATTATTATAAATTTTTAAACGAGAAGCTAAAGAATTTAGAAAAAAAGAAACTCAAATTTATTTATAAAATAAACTTTAGTTACCTATTGCTTTTGCAGTTTTTTCAGCATCACCGGTTATCATTTTAACAAGAACACCACCAGCTTTTAATTGTGATACAGCTTGTTCAACTTGTGGTCGCTCAGGATCAATAATTCCAACCATACCAACATATATCAAATCGTCCAATGATGTTCCAGTAGCCATTGCGAGAACTATAAACAAAAACAAAAGTTTTTATTTATTATTATATATTAGATAACATATACAGACGTCATTTTTATCTGTTATATGTATGTTAAATTATTCTAGATACTTTGATAAAAATCAGCACTAAAGACGTTTGTTCAGAGAAATTATTAGTAAAAAACTTCTGTTAATACGAACATCGACTCCCACTTCATGCATATTAGTTAAAAAAAAAAACTCCGACTTGAGGCACTAATATTGAAAACTAAGTGGTACATTTTCTAGATAATTTCTAAGAATAACAAAATCTCTATCCAAAGTTTTTTCTAAACATGCCTAGATGTTTCAAAAAACATCGATTTACTTTTCGTTAGCAACGTGATCAAGTATTAAAAAATGCTCTATAACCAAATGAAAAGTTTAAAAATAATTGCAAACAATACAAGTTTTTCTTCAAAATTTCTTAAATGATATTACGACAAAAATTTTTGTCACCGGACTTGATACAATCTCTAAAAAAAAACATTTTCTTAGAGTTCGAACTTGTTGAATACTTCATTATAAATGCAATTCATGTCGTAAAGTGTATTCTGAAGTTTTCGGATTTAGAAAGATATTCATTAATTCCTTTTTAATTAATGGTCGGCTAAATAAAGCCTTTGGCTTCAAAATTTTCGACCTCGATCGAACTGTACTTTGATATTGTGAGTGAAATTTTCTTATAGGATAGCCGCTTCGCAGATACAAGGTACTTTTCCGATGGCTAGCGCTTATCGAATTAGTCTCGGACCCGATAGGCTCTACAGTTGAAAGAGCCAACATTTCTAAATATGTCTATGCTAAAAGAACTTATTCAGAAAAATAAAACGTTGTGAAGAATAAAAGTCAAATGAAAAGTATATCTGTCCCACTTTTTTCAAACATAAACCATATATACATACTTCTTAATCCTTTAGCTGCCATTTGATTTGCATCAACAAAGAATTCTCGTATTTTTTCATCAGTTAATGGTATTGTTGTTCCATGATATAGATAGTTTTTACATACTTTTAAAACTTGTTCAATAGCTCCTTTAAAATATAAACGTGTTTCATTCTGTAACAAATAAAAAACAAAATTTATAAGAGAATAATTTGAAAAATGAAATCAATGTTAAAACATACTGGATTATATTTTGGTTTACATTCTACGGCCATCCATTTATTTTCATGTGTAAATGGCCATTCACGTTCACGATGAAACTGTTCACGAAGATGAGGAAGATTCATCTATTAGGAAAAAAAACAACATTCATTCATTCATTAGAAACAATTATAAATAATAATACTGACTTTCATAGCAACAGCAAGTAAAGCACCTTCAGTTGGTTGACCACGAAGTTGAAAATTAATAATCTCAGCATTATTACAAACAGCACCAACCTTATTAAAAAATCATTTATTTATATATTTATATAACAATTAGAAATACTTTACTTCAACTATTTTTGAAATTAAAGGATGTGAATCATAGGTTATTCGTTCTGAACCACATAAAACATCACCTTCACTATTATAACCTGAACCAGTAACCTAACAATATATATAATATATAAAATATAATTTCTTTTTATTTGTGTAATACAAACTTCAGCACTTTGCCCATCGGATGTTAAAATATGTGTAACAGTCATTTCATTTTTTGTTAATGTTCCTGTTTTATCTGAACATACTACTGTTACACAACCTATAATATAGAAAATACATGTAATCATTTAGAAATAGATTATTTAATAAATATACTCAACCGAGTGTTTCAACAATAGGTAATTTTTTAACTATTGCTTCTCGTTTTGCCATACGTTGAACACCAAGTGCTAATGTTACGGTAACAACTATTGGTAAACCTTCAGGAATAGCTGCTACTGCCAAACTAAAATAACAAAATAATAATTCATTTTTGAATTACATGCTTTTTGTGGTAAGCTGACAATATGTCGAAGGTGTTAGTGAAGCCCTTTTGTGTATATAAAAAAAGTCAATTTTCGTCAGAAAAAATCAGTTTTAAGATCAATGCATGAAAATATGTTCTAAATTGTATGATTTTTATATTTAGTATCTTGCCTTTTTTCAGAAAAATCAAGAATTCTTTTGCTTTGTTTATGTTACTCTAGTAGCGCATCCGAGAAATCTCGAAGGAGCGTCATCGTAACTAATTAATATTTTTCTGTTGGAAAGAACATGTGAAGCTACAGTGCCTGGTGTAGAATGCTCTCTTTAAACTAAACTTATTTATTATTATATTAAAAAAACACTTCTAGAAATAAATTACCATTTTTATTAAAGGTTTACAAGGTATTAAAGTTGCACCTCTCTTATTGTGCATAAAAAAATCAAGGACTCTGTCAGACACTGCTGTTTGATATACTCTTTCAAATGAAAAGAAAATAGCTTTATAAAATCAGGACTGACAGAACTATTTTTGACTCACTATCACATATATGATAAATTCTAATCAATGAATATATTTTTGTCGTTGACCATTTTCAATTCATTATAGAAAACTCCGACATACTTCTGCGCAGACGTTTTATCGAATTTTTTTCTCAGTCACATGTATGAATCAATTAATCTATGTTGATTCAAATTTGCGATAACTGTGACAAGCGTGAAAGACTTTCTTCTTGCTATTTGTAACTATTACGAATGTCATCACGGATATAGAAAAATAGATCTGAAAGATTTTTTTCTATAAGTAGAACTTAGAATATACCTAACACCGATAGTAAACATTTCAAGAAGATGCCGTCCTTGTAACCATCCAATAACAACAATAAGTACAATGATACTTAATGAATAAAATGAAAGTTGTTTTCCAAGGGCATCCATACTCTTTTGTAATGGTGTTTTAGGTGCCTATATCAAAAACAAAAACCATAAGTGCATTTTTTTACATTAAAGAAAACTTTTTTTCTATATTTTACTTCTTGTTGTTGCATCATTTGAAATACTTTACCAAATTCTGAATTTTCACCTGTGCATATCACAATACCCTTATAAAGAAATTTCAATAGATATAGTTAAAAAACTATATATTTAAAAATATACTTTAGCATTTCCATTAAGTACATGTGTACCCATAAATGTAATATTTTTTCTATCACTAATCGATGTTTGCCTTGCACCAATAATAAGTGGTTCAGTTGTTTTGACAGATGGTTTTGTTTCACCTGTAAATGATGATTCATCAACTGATATCTCATTTGCTTCTGTTAAACGTAAATCAGCCGGTACACGATCACCAATATCTAATATACATAAATCTCCTGGTACTAAATCTCTTGCATAGATTTGTTGACTTTTTCCTTCACGTATACATATACATTTAGGTGGTACAAGTTTTTTTAATGCTTCGATTTCTTTGTCAGCACGATTCTCTTGTATAAATGCAACTGTAACAACAATAATAATAGCTATTGTTATTGATAATGCATCATCATATTGTTTTAATAATAATGATATAAATGCTGATGCAAGTAATAATAATATCATAGGTTCTTTAAATTGTCCTAAATATTTTTTCCATATTGGTTCATCATCATCAACTTCAAAATCATTATGACCATAGAATTTACGTCGTGTTGAAATTTCATTTTCATTTAAACCCAATTTAGCATCAGTATGTAAAATTTTTATTATTTCTTGTGTTGTTACACGACACGCAGCATCAGAATTAATAAATGTCATAATACCATTTGATACTGGTAAATCATTTTCTCTGTGATTTGATACATTTAAAGATTGATGCTCTTCAAGCGAGCTTGAAATGCTCGATGAAGAATCAAATTCGATTAATTTTGATGAGTCCAGTTGTTTGATTTCTATAATGTTTTATTTACAAAAACTAAAAATTTAATATCGAAGGGTATTTTGTTTTTGGCCTTTTTAAATATTATTCGGGAGTTACATCGACAATGAAAAACTATAACATCTAAAAGAAAAAAAGAATAATATCATGAAATATTTACTATATAAGAAAAATAAAATCAAACGCTGCTTGTCTATGTATGTGTGACAGATGTGAAGCTTTTTTTAGTTTTTTTACTAAATCAATAAAATATATTAATGAGTAAACGAACGTGCTTAGCGCAACCGAATGCTTTTGGTTACGTACTTGAAAACATTTATTGGCCTTGCTTTTACTGCACGTGCCTAAGCTTGAATAGATGTCAACGTTCAAGGCATAGCAAACGACATTAAGTTTTTTTTTTCTCTCTATGTGGATAGAACCAATAGAACACATGCTAATAAATATGCTAGTCTGACTAGATCAAACGCATTTGCTTTCCTATTTTTTTGTCCAAAAAAAGAAAAAAGAAAACATACAAAATACCTCAGACACAGAACATTGACACAGGAGACGTAAAACGCCGAAAATAAAATCGTAAATGACGGTTTAAAATCTGCAATAAAAGAAAAAAGAAAAAAGAAAAAAGAAAAAAGAAAAAAGAAAAAGTCATTTTATTTTCTTAAGCTCTTGAATAAACTTTAAGTCATCATCAATTTCCTTTTTTTTTTTTGTTTTTTTTTATTGATTTTTTTTTTATACACATAAAGATATCATTTCATATCAACAAATAATATATCGGATACAATGAGAAGTTTATTTTTCACATTAGGTTGTGGTGAAAGAAGTGTTAATGTTCGTTTATCTGAATCCACATGTTGACTAATAAAAACAAAATTCAATATTTTAACATTTTCTTTTTTTCTATCATATATAACTTACACAACAACAAAACCAAGTAGATTTTTTGTTAACAATTGTTCAGGATCATTTGAACTACTGACTGATAAAACATGATGTACTAAAGCAGGACCTTTAGAAAAAAAAAACAAAAACCGATAATATCTAAAAATATTTTTTCTCTTAATTATTGTTTTTTTTTTTACTTGGAGCTATTGGTAAGATTTTATTATATGGATTTTTTAAAATCATCCCAGCTGGTAAACATGAGTCAGGTATTTGTGGTGCACCGATTTTATAAATTTTAATTTCATTAAATTCAATTGTAAATACATGTGGACAAATATTATTTTTTGGTCCATAGAAATATTCACGAATTTTATTTTCACGAAATTTATCTTTAGCTGCATCTTTTGGTACAACCTATTTAGAAAATTTTCTAGATAATTCTTTTTCAAGTTTTTTAAAACATATCATTACTCCGCCTGATTTTGGTAATGTTATAACTTTAACCGAAGGTAAATCTGATATTAATTTTGTTGCTAACCATTCACTATCAAGTACAATTATTATATCAACTATTAAAAAAAAATAAATTTAGAAACTTTGCTTTTTTTTTTTTTCATAAAATACATTTACCATCAAATGCTTTAGCAACATGTTTAAAAGATTCATAACCTTCCTGACGAATATAACCACAGGTATTAACAACAACACCACTGATAAGAGCTAGAAAAAAAAGATTATGTTTTATTATTCAATTTGGCCTTCATTCTATACAGAAAAAAAACTCTTTTAAAATATGTCAAAACAAAACTATTTCAAGGTCTTTGACTAGCAACTTTATACAGGATTTTGAACTCTATAAATAAGAGATATGACCAATCTACTTTAAATAACACTAATTTAATATAGAATAAAACTAGAGCCCTACGAAGTCAACTTGTTTCAATTCCGAAAATGATTTTTGCCTATAGTGATTTGAATAGAGAAAATTGTTTCCAATAAGGATTTAAGAGTGAGAGAGAGTCTTCAAAATAGTCCCAAATCTAAGATCTCAATACAACTCTACACCTAGTATTTCGATCCCTATAATATGAACAAAAAGCTTCTTCTAAGTACATGTATGACTGAGCAAGTCGCTACAAAATGACACCTCTTCGAGCTCTCCACAACATTTTTTGATAAAACTTACATCGGTATTTAAAAACACGCAAAATTCGTTTTTTCGCTATTTCCTAAAGGAAGAATGGACAAAGTGGATCATTTTTATAGAAAATTAATTGCTCTGTGTTTCAGGTTCTGGATGCTTGAAAGGCTAGATTTGAGGTTTAATAGATATCCTGGGTTTTAGAAATACCTTGAAGATTTTATTTCCTTAAAATGCCCAGAGAAAATACTTTTCTCTATTCAAGCTCCTATTTAGATTCTTTATGCGAGTTACCATCACAAAAAAAATTGAAACTAATTCTTTTTGTGCTACTTATGAATGAAAATTTCTCTCGAAGGTTTTTTCTTGACATTTATAAATCGATAAAGTAGTTCATTTTATTCATTACGTAACATATGAAGCATAAACTTGTTGCTATATAAGAGTAAAATACTTGACTGTTGTAGTGATATAACTCCGACCTTGGTGGAGTGCAATGCAGGGCTCTAAAGAAAAGTTTTCTTTTACTTACATCTTCAATATTAAAGCATAGCTTCTATACAGTAGAACATCTCTATGTAAGTACTTCCCAACAGTAAGGCATCTACAGTCTGCTTGAACAAACTGTTCTAGAAACGAGTCTCTCAAATATGCGTAGTTATATAGTCTAAGTAGTAGGTGTTTATTAATGGTTGGATAAGCAATAATATTCATTGTAATGTGAGCAAAACATGTTTGTCACTCATGTGTAGAACGAGAAAAAAAATAATGTTTTGTGTATTGTACTATGCTAAACAATCATGGGACACATAGAAAAAGGGAACGAAATAGCTGTGAATATTTAAAAGAAAAACAAAATGCATAGTAAATAATATTAGTAGTTGCCTAGTATAACAATTCGTCGTTTGTCTTTGTTCACTGCTAGTAGCATGAAATTATATCAATACAAGTTGATTTATCTTTGATTAAAAACAATTACATTAATTTATTGTTGAACCAAAAGAAACTAAAAACCTCGCAATAATAAGCAGCTATGTAATATGAGCACTTTCTATCAATCTCGATTATGTCCAAATTAGATAAGTTTTCCATATTAAAAAACACTTACAAAAATCAGCAATCATTTTGTGCAAATAACTATCTTGTTCATGCGTCAAGTATTAAGAAAAATAAAACTAATCGCCAATTCCTGATTTAAAAGTTCAAACTCTCTTCAGAATATTCATACATGATGCACATCATCTTGATGCAACAGCAATGTATCAGTTATAAAATTTCCCTTGTTTGAAAAAGACTGTCACTCCTAACAACAAATTGCTTATGTCTTCTATTATAGTTCAATACTTATTGAATCTTTACCAAGTGTAAGCAAAAAATATATATTTGTCTCACATTTTTCGACGTTTTCCGATCGAATATTAACATACATAGCCATTGATGATACTATTTCATTATATAAACCGATATTTTCACCGGGTGTTTTATAACCATAATGAAAAACAAGTGGCATATCAATTCGAAAACCTTCTTCAACAGAAGCTGGTCGACGAATAACCATAGTCGCTGAAGAAAAATAAACAAAATAAAATTTTTAATTAAATTCAAAACTTTTTTTTTTACCAATTGTTCCTGGTATGGATATTTGATTTTGTCCAACATCAAGATCAACTAATATTGGTGTTCGACCAAGTCGAGCTGCCCAATTAACAAGCATTCGACATAATGTACTTTTACCTACATCGGGTAGACCAGTTACCATTATCTATTTTAAACAATATTCATTTTTTTTTAAATAGATTTAATTGGATATTATTCTTACACGAGGTCCACGAGTTTTTTCTGATTCAGCTTTTTGTCTCAATTGTTCCAACATACCATGTACATTTAAATAAATATGCATTGGATTTTCATCTCGTGCAACATAATAATCATCATGTGATGAAACAATCTAAATCTATTATATTATTTCAATAGAATTCGAATAATTTTAACATACATTTACAGTACAACCCCAATAAGTAAATATAGAAAATTTCATTCCAGATGTAAATTGATATTTCTGACCAATAGCTAGTTCAGTACCGAATATTTCGGCCTTACCCGAACGTAACTATAAAAAAAATCAAATGAAATTTTCAAAGTAGAGAAGAAAAAAAACAAACATTGACTCACTTCAACTGTCAATGTTTCATCTACATCACCACGTAGTTCTTGTCCGGCTTCAATAACAATTTCTTTCTATAGTTCAATACAAATTCGTCTAAGACAATGTAAAAAGTTTTTTTTAAATATTTACCGTTGTCATTATTCTTCTGAAAAAAAAAGCAAACAATAGAAATCTGTAATGTTTTTTAATCGATAAATTACTTTAATAAGATAAACAACAAATCAAACGGAGGTATAACAGATTTTCTCCTTTTTTAAAAAAAATGAACAATTATATGAAGAATAAAACGATAGATGAATAAAAAAAAATACAAAAAAAAAAAGCACAAGCATGATTGCACAATTAATAGAATTTCAAATGCACACTATCAAGCCAAGACAAAAAAATAAATTTGCTGTTGATCATTCATCATTGTTTTATTTTCTATATAAGGAAAAAAAAAGTAGTATATCAAATAACGAACAAAGAATTGTACTGTTAGTATTTCTGAAATTTCTCGTTTTGACTACAATACTTGCGTTAATCAACAGATAATAAAAATAAAAAATGATGATGAATCCACAAAAGCGTTTGGTGATTTGAGTAGGATGGTTTTTAAAGCGAATAATTATTTTGTGTATAAAAATGATAAAAGAGCGTCGACTCTATCGATCTCTCACACTCTTCTGATCGACCATAGACAACTCATACAAAAGACAATATTTTGAAAGTAAAATGACATCTAGGCAAGCAGAAACGTATATCAACAAGAAGATCAACTATTGAAATGAATATTTCAAGAACTAGCAAACATCGAGTATTATGTGAAGGTCTCAGTTGTTTCCCATACAACAAAACCGACTGATTTTCAACAACAGAAGAGATTTAAATTGGTGGACTAGATATTAAATAATTTTACTGTTGAGAAAATTTTCGATTTACATAGGATATCCTACTTAGAAAGTCTGTATCAATTCGGTTGAAAGGAAAAATGTTGAAAATATTCCAGATATCATTAAGTAACTTTGTTGACGGTGAATTGTCGATGTAGAAGTAGGTGTGAAGAGAAGACTGATATTCGAATGCACACCCTCACGTAGACACTCATCCACATAAAGAAACGTATTAACTTGTCGTTCGTTTTGTTCTCAAATATTTTTCATAAGCTATCAACTTTTGTTAGCACAACTGTACGCAAGGGGGAAAAGGCGGATTTTGGATTTTCGGATTTGTTTGGGATTTTTCGGATTTTTTTGAATTTTTCGGATTTTGATAATCCCAAAATCCACCACCAGAGTTCTGTTTCAAATAGAGGAATTTCGAGCTGAAATTTTTGCCATATGTAGGCCTCGTGGTTCTTAAAATATTCTAGAAGTTTCAGTGCAAATTGACGTTTTCTTCTGAAGATAATGTGATCGCAAGAAATACTCATATTTCACACCTCAGTCAGAAAATCCACTTTTCTTGGAAATTGATTATCTTGAGAAGGAAACATCCGTTTGCAATGAAACTTTTAGGATATTTTAAGGACTGCAAGGTCTACGTATGATGAAACTTTCAGCTCGAAATTCCTTCATTTATGACAGGACATTGCTGGTGGATTTGGGGATTTCGTCGATTTTTTAGGACTTTTCATGGATTGGTAATCTCGTAAATCCGCCTTTTCCCCTTTGCTTCAGGAACAGTTGATAGTAAGACAATTTTTGAAAAATCTTGAAAAATATCTTGAAGAACATGATTGTTGTTCACGGGTGGTGATGGTTTTAATCATTTAGATTTTAATGTATGTTCTTTAAGACATTCTTCGTGTTTTTAATGGAGAAGTTGATAAAAGTATCGAATACTATCACGACAACCTGTTTGCACTGTGTAATTATGATCATCGGCTTCAAAGCAAACAAGTCTTTTAATATCGTTTAAGGCAGAGCATGAAATCGAAAGAATAGCAAATACATGTTCCATATTAAGAAACGAATATACGCTTCGAATTCCTTGAGCTTCTAGCAATTTAGCTTCGACTGATCCAGTGACTTTTTCAACCACTTTGTAAAAATCTGCGTCGCAAAACGAAAGTAACTCAAGCAGACAAATATGTTCAAAAATGCGTTTAAACGCATGAAAAAGTGCCATTAAAATATAAAAAGTAGACGCTTTTTGCTCACAATGGCGATCCCCGACTGTGAGCGAAAAACGCCCATTTTTCCCCTCTTTGTGTGTTTAAACGCGTTTTCAGCGAGAACACGATTGTAAAAGCGTATAAACGCATAAAAAGAACACTGAACGCAGTTGTCTTCTTCATAATCGTAAATCACCATCATGATTATGATAACAGCTAATGAAACTGAACAAGACAACTGCGTTTAGTGTTCTTTTTATGCGTTTATACGCTTTTACAATGGTGTTCTCTCTGAAAATGCGTGTAAACGCACAAAGAGGGGAAAAAATGGGTGTTTTTTCGCTCACAGTCGGAAACCGCGATTGTGAGCAAAAAACATCTACTTATTATATTTTAATGGCACTTTTTCATGCGTTTAAACGCATTTTTGAAAATATTTGTATGCTTGGGTATCAGCCGGTAAGATGGAAGTGTCAGAAGAAAAGTTCTGAAGAGACATTTATAAACATTAGATTCAGAATAAAGAAAAATATCATCAACATACGATTGAAATAATTTTAATTTTGAAAATATTGAAATAGAAAAATATATCCTCTTTTTAAGGATGCATCTAAAGAAAAATATAATTCTTGGCGTTTCTTGATTTTCCAACTAGAACACTCAAGTACTCTTGGTGATATAGAACATTAGTATTTTAACCTTTGTCGATGAATTAACATCACCAGTGTCTTTATTCGAGTACCACACCCTCGATAAATAATGGAACACACAGAGAAATTCCTCAATCGTTCAATTTTATTTATCAACAATAGCCTAAGCACATATCTGATATTAGATGTCATTTTGATGGAATAGTGCTACTATTCGGTATACTGTCTTTATGGAACTATAAGTTTTAAAACACAAGGAGATTGAATGAACACTATTTTTATAAGAAAAAATCGGTTAATCGCAGAATTGCACTTATTCGTGTATAGTTGTCCTTTAAAACAATCATAAAATTCTAATCATTTCAATCTTAACTCTGGGATTCACATGGGATTTTTGGAATTCTCGTGGCATTTTCGGATTCTCATAAGATTTTTGGGATTTCTCGGATTTTTATTGGGATTCAAAATCCTGAAAATCCGCCTTTTCCCCCTTGACTGTGCGTCTCTCACTTTTTTTAATGCAATAAAATATCTTCACCATGCTGATCGCGAAGCTTAAACTAAACTTGTTTCGACATTTTTTCTTTCTGCCAAATTAATACCATTCATTCTGAATAACCGAGTATGGACTGTGAAAAAGAAAGAGGCAAAAAAATTTCTAGTAAAAGTGATGAGAGTGTTAGATGCATGTGGACAAGGATTGACAATGCCAGTGATTTTGAAAGATAGAACAATGAAAGCCGAAACGCATGTTAATGAACCTTTTCTCATAGATCAAAAATCCGGCAACAACATGTTAGGAAACGATCGGACATATACACAAGACGGTATAGGATCTTGTGAGGTTATAGATAGAGATAAGTTGAAAACTAAGAGCAGATAGGTCTACGACATGTATTCATCTCTTTATTATCGATATCTCGACTACTTTATATAGGGTTAGTATTTAGATATTAAAGGGAAATAACAAATGTAGATATAAAAAGATAAAATATTTGTTAGGAGGCGACAAATAGAAAAAGGAAAATACCTGCATATACAACAACACATATGACCAGATGGTAGAAGGGAAAAATACCAATGATAAGAGAACAGAGAGGTAAAATATATATGGTGATAGAATAGAGAGACGAAGAGAACAAAAAATATAAATGGCAACAGATATGATGAATTAGACGACTCTAAAACTTCTTAACAATCTCACACACACATCATCTTAAAGAAAAATAATACGCTTATCATTTTGCTACATAGATCAATAAGTATCATTGGCCATCAGATCTACCTGATTTATATCTACTAGATTACAATTTACGGAATGAATTGGAACCATGTAACTACAACGGCAAGATAGACAGACGAAATAAAACGTTTACTCGAAAAATTTTTCAATTCTGTACTTAATTTTACTACACGTTACGTTTAATCAAAAACACATGGAAAAGACTATATTTGTTAAATAGAGTATACCATTTTATGCAAAACTTCAAGCGCTATCTGTTGATAAAAAATGTACTTTGATTAATGGCATAAGAGAGAAGAAATTTCAAAAATACTAACAGAACAGTTATTTATGAATTCATCAGATATGAAAATATTTACTTTGTATGTCCGTTCATATATGATATTTCATTATTTAAATGAAATCTATTTTGTATATGATTTATAATTGATGATGTTTTATGAATAATCTCATCATTCAAATTCCATATAACTATTTGACCAAATAAATCTGCTGAACTTATTTTTACTAGATTACCATTCTCTCTTTGATAAGGAACAATTTGTCTGAAAAATAAATCAAGAATAATAACGAAAAACAAAATTCAAATAAATTTTACGTTATCATGCTTTGATGAGTTGAAATAGGTTCAGATGTTTGTGCTTGCATTGCTGGTTGATCAAAGCGACGACTGTAGAAAACACAAAAAAAAGAGTGATAAGCGCAATCCTTACGAGATTAAAATGTGAAACACAATGTAACTACTCTTGTTGATTGTATAGGAATTGTTTTATTCTATCTATTGTAGAAAATATTTCTTCATCATCATTTTACCTAATCATCGAGACATACACTAAAGAAGGAGCTCATATACTACAACGAAGTATTATTGACATATCGTCTGTAACTAGTCGTTTCTAACGTGCCTGTCATATCTGTGGAAATAGTGAATACATCCGAATTTTTATCTTTAATATTTCTTTTATGTCATGCTTCACACAAGATACGAATCAATCACTAGTAATTGACAGTTTTGTGTTGAATGAAAAGAAGAAAACTCAAGAGAAAATGTGACATAAGAGATTGTATGAATTGTGTGACATTGTTTAGATGTCACAAAAGAAATAATCATCGTTAACTTTTGAATTAGGATAATTCATGGAAATTTATC